AGACCAGAAAGGCCCAGCAAGAGCCCGCCTCTCGCCCGGGCCAGGAACAGGCAGGCTTGCCGGACAGAGCAGCTTTAGAAAACCCTTGTCCTGGAGAGGCGCCGCTCACACCCACGCCGGCAGTCACGAGGGCCCGCCCCACCCCCTCCCAGGCCGTGCCAGGCAAGGCACCGTGGGCAGCCAGCAAGGCCCCCAGCCGAGGGGCCATGAAGGGGCATGGGCAGCCTGGACTCCCTGCCTCCGCTTTGGGGTGCTGCCCCAGGCTGCCCTGCCCCCGCCCTGTGGCTCCGGGGGCGTTTCTGTCCCCCACTACCAGGCAGGCATCCGGTATCCGTGAGGCTCCTGGGGAGCTGGGACTCCGCCCGCCTGCCGTGACCAGGAGTGGCCCAGCTCAGGTGTTGGTGAGGCTGAGTGACGGTCTTGGACTTCACCTCCCTGCCAGAGCAGGGTCAGAGGGAGCAGCTGGCGCCCAGCGTTTGAACGCGATCCAGCACCTCATCCGGCACGCGAGAGGGTCCAGGTTTCCCTGGAGAATCATTCTTCAGAACACGAGCCAGAAAGATTGCACACTGGGTACGGAGAAACAAGGAAGGCCACAGACGCCAACCCCAGACCACCACGATTCCGGATGACCTGCTGCAGAGTTCAAAGCCGCTCGGCGGAAAGCGCTTCAAGGAACAAACGGCGGGTCTGCTGAACACAAGCGGAAGACGGAGCCTCATCAGAGGTGGAGGATGTGCAAGGGGGCGATCACGGGCAGCAGCCGCAGACGCAGCCGCATACGCCACCCGGGAACAGCCGTGCGTCCACGTGGCAGGGCCTTGGAACCTGGGAGACCTCAACAAAGGGCCTCCTGTTTGCGACAGGGAGTCCTGGACGGGGAGAAGGAGGGTGGAGCCGAAATCCTACGAGCAGCTTCCCGGATTTGGCAGGAGACGCGTGCTTTGCAACCCTCAGCCGTGGAAACCCGGAGAAACTCACGCTAGACGCAGCATGGTCAAATTTCGGAAAGCTAAAGACAGAGAAAAATGGCAGAAATTAAAACAAAACGAAGGCAATTGAAGGCAGCAAGAGAGACACTGGCGTTGGGTGCAGCAAGCTAATGCACAGCCTTCGATGCTGGCATCCTGTATGGCACCCTGTGTGGGCTGCTCCACTTCCCATCCAGCTCCCTCCTAATGCACCTGGCAACCCAGTGGAGGATGGGCTGCGTGTTTGGACCTCTGCACCCACGTGGGAGACCTGGATGGAGCTCCTGGCTCCTGATTGGCCCAGCTCTGGCTATTGTGGACATTTAGGGAGTGAACCTGTGGCTGGAAGATATCTCGCTCTGTCTCTCCCTCTTTCTTTCAGTCTCTGTGTGTGTGTGTGTGTGTGTCTGTAATTCTGCCTTTCAAATAAATAAAATAAACCTTAAAAAGAAAGAAACCTGCAAGAGAGAAATACTGCTTTATTGTCTGGGCCAATGACGCAGAATATAGACAATTACTTTCTTTTTAAAAAAAATTTTTATTTTATTTATTTGAAAGTCAGAGTTACAGAGGGAGGTAGAGACAGAGAGGTCTTCCATCTGCTGATTCACTCCCCAGATGGCTGCAACAGCCGGAGCTGAGCCGACCCAAAGCCAGGAGCCAGGAGCTTCTTCCGGGTCTCCCACGTGGGTGCAGGAGCCCAAGGACTACTGCCTTCCCAGGCCAGAGCAGAGAGCTGGATCGGAAGAGGAGCAGCTGGGACTTGAACCAGTACCCATATGGGATGCCGGTGCTTCAGGTCAGGGCTTCAACCCTCTGCACCACAGTGCCGGCCCCTATAGCCGATCCCTCCTCCGAGCCACAGGGGTCAGAGGAGAGTGGCTGAGGTGAGAGGAGAGGTCACAGGACTGTAAGGACCAAAGGACCGTCCCAGAGAGTACAGCCTGAAGAGAAGCCAAGACGCTCACGTGACAACAGAGAGGACGTGTGACCACTTAGAAAAAATGGTTAAAAGATGTTCTCTCAATAGAGCGGAACAAGGAATCGGGAACATGAAGGAAGTAAGCGAAATAGGAGCAAACCCAGTAGGTCTCCCTTCTTCTTTTGAGTTTTCCAAATTACATTGGGCAGTTGAAACAAAAATCATAACATGTGGTTCCGTGCATGGGTGGAGGGAAACCCGGGGTCTTCAGAAAGTTCACGGAAAAAGGGATGAGGAGATAAAGATTCACACGATAACCCTGGCTTCTCCACACGCCCCCATCAGGTGCAGACCCTCTGGTGAACAGGACACCAGCCGTCTAGTCCACCCGGTGCTCGCTCCGCTCGGAGTCTAACCGAGACGACACAACCTTATCACACAGCGAGCCCAAGAGAGACGGCCGCCTCCTAAAGATTGGGGTGTGTGTGTGTGTGTGTGTTTAAGATTAGGAAACAAAAGGAAGTCAGAAGGAGCCAAATTCGGACTGTGAGGTGGATGCCTAATAATTTCCCATCGAAACTTCGCCCCTCCCCTCCCCTCCCCTCCCCTCCCTTTCCCCTTCCCTCCGTCTCTCCTCCCCTCCTCTCCCCTCCCCCTCCTCCCCTCCCCTTCCCTCCGTCTCTCCTCCCCTCCTCTCCCCTCCCCCTCCTCCCCTCCCCTTCCCTCCGTCTCTCCTCCCCTCCCCCTCCTCCCCTCCCCTCCCTCTCTCCTCCCCTCCCCCTCCTCCCCTCCCTCCCCTCCCTCTCTCCTCCCCTCCCTTTCCCCTTCCCTCCCTCTCTCCTCCCCTCCCCTCCCCTCCCCTTCTCCTCTCCTGTTTGGTGAGAGATCCCGCAGAGTGAGGCTCTCCTGGATGTTTTTCTGCAAATCTTTAGCCAACTTTCTCAAACCCCTCTAGTAGGCAGATACCATCATTCTTTGACCTTCCTGAAAGTCAACAAGCAAAATACCTGGAGCACCTCCCTCCCCCTGCACTGCTGCCTGACCTTTGCTCTTGACTGGCCGCACCTGCTTGCCTGGCCCCCTCCCACCTCTCGGCAGCCATTGCTGTGATGTGTTGTGTCTTCAGATTGTGCTGAGAAAGCCGGGTTTCATCTCCTGTTACAGCATGGTGTAAGCCATGGTAAACATTGCATAAACATTGGTCTTTAAATTTTGTGTTCGTTTATTGACTTTATTTGAAAGGGGGAGAGAGAGAGACGGACATCTTCCGTCTGCTGGCTCACTCCGCAGTTGCCGCCACTGTGGGGACTGGGCAGGCTGCAGGCAGGAGCCAGGCTTCCTTGTGGTGGCAGGAACCCAGCCCTTAGAGCCATCACCTGCTGCCCCCAGGTGTGCAGCAGCAGGAGTTGGCATCGGGACCGCGGCTGGGACTTGAGCCCAGGCGCTGTGATGTGGGAAGCAGGTGGGTTCACTGCTAGGCCAAAGCCCACCCCGTTACAGTTCTTTGCAGAAATGCTTCAGGGTCTTGACCCGACTTGTCCGAAGTTCCCGTTGAGAGCTCGGCTGCTGCCGGAGGCTGATCCGAACACAGCTGTTTCGTCGCGGGACGCTTGCGCAGTGCGGATTTCTCGGCTGAACCAGCTGGGGTGTGGCCATTGTTCATCTTCAGTCTTCTTCAGTTACAGCACAGACAGGATGGATATCGTCCCCAGAGACTATTGCCTGGCCTTGGGAGTGAACCTGTGGCTGGAAGATATCTCGCTCGCTCTCTCCCTCTCTCTTTCAGTCTCTCTCTCTCTCTCTCTCTCTGTGTGTGTGTGTGTCTGTAACTCTGCCTTTCAAATAAATAAAATAAACCTTAAAAAGGGAAACGTGATACCGCCCGGCAAACTGCTGGCTTCTTCAGGCATTGTCCTCTTAAGCTTTTCTTAATGAGTTGGTTTTTACTGAAGCTTCACCAAAAATTGATGTTTATTCTTGCTTCAATTTTAGTGGGGAGCCGGCACTATGATGTAGAGGGTAAAGCTGCTGCCTGCAGGGCCGGCATCCCATATGGGTGCCGGTTCGAAACCCAGCTGCTCCATTTCCGATCCCGCTCTCTGCTGTGGCCTGGGAAAGCAGTAGAAGATGGCCCAAGTCCTTGGGCCCCTGCACCCACGTGGGAGTCCCAGAAGAAGCTCCTGGCTCCTGGCTTCGGATTGGCTCAGCTCTGGCCATTGTGGCCACTGTGGCCATTCAGGGAGTGAACTAGCAGATGGAAAATCTCTCTCTCTCTCTGTCTCTCCTTCTCTCTGTGTAACTCTGACTTTCAAGTAAACAAATAAATCTTTTAAAAAGAAAATTGTAGTGGGATCCAAGTTGCTCAGAACCATGGGAGCTCTTCTCAAACTGATGTGTTATCCTTTTTAGTGCCCCAGCTGGACTCTGTTCTGACGTTTTAAAACAAGTCAGTATGAACTGATTTCACTGCAAACACGTCAAATCCATCATAGTTCTTCTTTATAATATGCATTTTCCATAAACTTTTCTAAGATTCTTTGTATATTTTTAAAGATTTATTTGTTTACTTACTTGAAAGAGTGAGAGAGACAGAGACAGAGAGAGACAGAGAGAGAGAGAGAGAGAGAGAGATCTTACATCTGTAGGTTCACTTTCCAAATGGCCACAATGGCTAGGGCTAGTCCAAGCTGAAGCGAGGAGCCAGGGACTCCATCTGGGTCTCCCAAGGGGGTGGCAGGAATGCAAACCCTCAAGACATCATCCACTGCTTCTCAGGTGCACTATCAGGGAGCTGGATCACACAAGGAGTGGCCAGGCCCCCTGCTGGCATCTGACACGGGACACAGGTGTCCAAGCAGCAGCCCGACCCTCTGCACAGCAACGCCAGCATCTGCTTCCTCGTGTTTCTATTTATTGACCAGCAATCAGGGTTTATGATTGGTTATATGATTAAGGAGAGGGCAGGAGAGTGGAGGCCCCGGTTCTGCAGCGTGTGTGGGTGGACAATGTGAACCCCGGCCCTAGGGCTTTCCTGAAGCACCTGCATTCTTGTCGGGAGCCAGAAGCAGGGACAGCGTGAGGTCAGAGGCATGGATGGCCACTGGAGCAGCTGTCTCCCAGGCCCCTCAGGGCAACCCACACGAGCAATAGGCTGCACACAAACCGCGGACGGTGGCTTGCAGCCACGGCACACCAGCCCGTGTCTTTATTTAAAGATTTATTTGTTTGAAAGGCAGCGTGGCAGAGAGGGATGGAGAAACAGAGACAGAGAGATCTTCCATCACTGGTTCACTCCCCAAATAGCTGCAACAGCCAGGTCTGGACCAGGCCAAAGCCAGGAGCCCAGAACTCCATCCAGGTCTCCTACGTGACTTGAACCATCTTCTGCTGCCTTCCCAGGCACGTTGGCAGGGAGCTGGATTGGAAGTGGAGTGGCTGGGACTCATACCGGCACACCACTATGGTGTGGAATGCCAGCACTGTGAGCAGTGGCTTAACCCAATTCCAGCCCTATTCCTTGTATGTAAACATTGTATTATAAATGGGAAGAGATAAAAAAGCATCTGAAAGAAGATAATTTTTTGAAAGACGTAGTTATTTATTTGAAAGGCCGCGTTACAGAGAGAGAGAGGGAGAGACAGAGAGAGAGAGATCCTCCATCTGCTGGTTCACTCCCCAAATGGTTGTAATGGCCAAGGCTGGGCCAGGCCGAAGCTAAGAGCCGGGAGCTTCTTCTGGGTCTCCCACATGGGTGCAGGGGTCCAAGGACCAGGGCCATCTTGGCTGCTTTCCCAGGCCATTAGCAGGGAGCTGGATTGGATGCGAGGAGCTGGGACTCACGGGATGACTTTTAGAAATTAGAAATCTGTGTGGGCCGGTGCCGCGGCTCACTAGGCTAATCCTCTGCCTTGCAGCGCCGGCACACCGGGTTCTAGTCCCGGTTGGGGCGCCGGATTCTGTCCCGGTTGCCCCTCTTCCAGGCCAGCCCTGTGCTGTGGCCAGGGAGTGCAGTGGAGGATGGCCTGAGTGCTTGGGCCCTGCACCCCATGGGAGACCAGGAGAAGCACCTGGCTCCTGGCTCCTGCCATCAGATCAGCACAGTGCGCCGGCCGCAGCGCGCCAGCCGCGGCGGCCATTGGAGGGTGAACCAACGGCAAAGGAAGACCTTTCTCTCTGTCTTTCTCTCTCACTGTCCACTCTGCCTGTCAAAAAAATAAATAAATAATCTGTGTGAGGGATCATCGACAAGTTCGTGGAAATGCCTATTACAGAAAAACCGTTCATGGGTTTCAAAACCTTTTGCACCAAAACAAAGTTGCCTTTGGGTTTCATCTTCCTGAAGTATACAGACTTTCATCCTAGACTGATGGGGCCACTCCAGTCCTTGTCCTCTGTGTTCTGCTCCTAGGAGGGGTCAGTTGGCAAAACGTGTCTGTGTGTCTCTCCTGGCCCGGGCTGTGAGCTGGCTGCCGCGGGGCCAGACCCCCTGCAGCCCCTGTGGACCGTTAAGATAGTGAGCAGAAAGCATCAAGGGAAACATGTCTCGAAGTGGTCTCACATTCTGTTCGCAAGGCAAGGAAATCTACAATCCGGGAGTCTTTCCTTTCAAAATTGCCAAAATAGGGGCCAGCATTGTGGTGCAGGGGGGTTGAGCCACTGCCTGCGATGCCGGCGTCCCACACAGGTGCCAGTTCAAGTCCTGGCTGCTCCACTTCCAATCCAGCTCCCTGCTAATGTGCCTGGGAAAGCAGTGCAGGGTGACCCAAGCGCTTGGGCCCTGCCACCCACGTGGGAGACTCAGATGGAGCTCCAGGCTCCTGGTTTCAGCCCAGCCCAGCCCTGGCCATTGTGGGCATTTGGGGAGTGAACCAGTGGATGGAAGCTCGCTCTCTCTCTCTCTCTCTGCCTTTCAAATCAATAGATAAATCTTTACAGGAAATTACCAAGCCGAAAGGCAGACACCCCTGGAAGACTCAGGCTTCGGCAGGCGAGAAGCTGCTCCCGGGGCGCCGGCTGCTTCCCAAGCCCAGGGCGTAGGTGAGCATCACAGGCCGCGGCACAGGGCAGCTGCTGGGTGCAGGCAGCAAAGCCCCGCGTGGAGGCCGGCGGGGCCCGCAGGCTGAGAAGTGCTGGGTCCTTCCAGAGTGAGGAACTCCGTGTGACTGTAAACAATTCCTCCCTGTCTCTGCAGCAGATCTCGTGGCGTTTGGAGAATTTGGAGAAATATCTTCGGAGTCTCCCTGGCATCAAAACGCAGTCATGAGACCTCAGAGTCGCCTGCAGATGCTGTCGTCCACCAGGAGAGCGTGCGGAACAGCTATCAAGTGATCTCTGTGTGCAAAAAGCGATTAGACACGCAGACGCCGGCCATCAGCCGCGGGGCAGGCCTCAGTCCAGCGGGACAAGGATGGCCTTTAACACGTGGCGTCTCCACTTTTCTTTTCTTTTTTGTTCGGGCTTGTTTTTTGTTTGTTTGGCCTAAATGTGACCCTAACTTGCCAAAACTTAAACCTGGGAATCGGGCATCTGGGGTTAGGCATGAAACCGTGAGATCCACTGCGTGCCGGCTTCCTCGTGCACCTTGGGCAGTTGGGTCCCCGTGTTCTTTGCCAGCAGCAAGGAGCACGAGCCGGGGTGCGGCGCAGGTTGTGCGAGGTGCTGGACACACGCACCTCCAAGCCGCGTCGCATTAGGGGACAAACGGAAGAGCCCAACAGCGCGATGGCGTGAAAGTCGTTCACACACGTGTCCTTCCCACTAGGACTCCTTCCTCCTGGGACTCGCTCATTCCCTATCGGTCAGCCCTCTGCCCAGAGCCCACAGTGTGACGGACTTGCCCCTGAGAGACACGTTCGGGGGATGCGTCCCCAGAAGTGAGGGTCCCACCCCCCGCACCGTGATTCACTTCCAAAACAGATTTTGAAACCTGGAGCCTGGAGCCTGGGAATCCACCAAGCTCCTGGGTTGGGCCTGAGGGCTGTGCTTCCCCACCCCACCCCGCTCTTTCCCCAGGGGAGCGCTGAGGGCTGCAGGTGGGGGAGCACCTGCGGCGGCCTGGGGACATGGTTCTCCCTCCCCCATGTAAGCCTGACCCCTCTCTCTGCCGCCGGCGCTGGGTCCGACTTCACTCCCCCTCCAGGGAGACGGCCCTGACTCCTCGCCTGTGGGATCACACGCCCCATTGCTCTGCCGGCTGTGAGCTCCTGTGGGAGGGGCCGTGTCCCAGACGTCAACCTAGGATGCGCTCGGGCACCCCGCCCCGCCCCCTCCACCAGCCCTGACCCATCAGCGTTCTTTTGAAGACAAGGTGCCTCCCTCCTCACCCCCATCTGCACCCCTGCTGCACTTAGGATTTCCCTTTGTCTTCCAGTACTTGGCTGCAATGTGGCTTTCTCTGTTTATCCGGTGCGGGCTACGCTGAGCTTCTGGAATCTGTGGGTTGGCATCTTTTACTTTTGGAAAATTCTTGGCCATCATCTGAGCGGCGCTCCTGTCCCTTGCCCCCTCTCCTCTTTCTCGGGGGCTACAGTAGCGTGTATGTTAGACCCTCTGACCATGTCCCGTGGGACTCTCACCCCCTGGAGTGTTTCATCCATTCTGCTTCCTACGTTTCAGTTTATGTCACTTCTGCTGACTTGGTTTTGGATTCACATTCTTCTATGTCTAACCTAAGGTCAAACCTTCCATTAAGTCCTTTTCTTTGACGTTTATTGTGATATCGCATACATACCAAAATGCACATGTGTACAGATAAATGAGTTTTTTGTCATCTGACCACACTCAAAACACTCAAATTAAGGACAAAGGAATGCAGGGATGGTGCTGTGGCATAGCTGGTGAAGCTGTTACCTGCAGTGCTGGCGTCCCATATGGGTGCCTGTTCAAGTCCCAGTTGCCCCACTTCCAATCCAGCTCCCTGCTAACGTGCCTAGGAAAGCAGTAGAAGATGGACCAAGTCCTTGGGCTCCTGCACCCACGTAGGAGACCCGGATGGAGCTCCTGGCTTTGGAATGGCCCAGCTCCAGCCATCACAGCAATTTGGGGAGTGAACCAGCAGATAGACCTCTCTCTCTTGGCCGGCGCTGTGGCTCACTAGGCTAATCCTCTGCCTTGCGGCACCGCCACACCGGGTTCTAGTCCCAGTCGGGGCACCGGATTCTGTCCCGGTTGCCCCTCTTCCAGGCCAGCTCTCTGCTGTGGCCAGGGAGTGCAGTGGAGGATGGCCCAAGTGCTTGGGCCCTGCACCCGTATGGGAGATCAGGAAAAGCACCTGGCTCCTGCCATCGGATCAGCGCGATGCACCGGCCGCAGCACGCCAGCCGTGGTGGCTATTGGAGGGTGAACCAACGGCAAAGGAAGACCTTTCTCTCTGTCTCTCTCTCTCTCACTGTCCACTCTGCCTGTTAAAAAAAAAAAAAAAAAAGACCTCTCTGCCTCTGCCTCTCCCTCTCTGTAACTCCACCTTTCAAGTAAAATAAATAAATCTTTTTTAAAAAACAAAGTAATGCTTTCTATGCTTCAGTTTATGTAATTTCTGCTGACTTGTCTTTGAGTTCATGCCTCTTGTGTTCTTCTGTGCCTAACCCAACATGTGAAGTAATTAAGTTTTTAATTTTTAAAAATATTAGTATCTCAATTTCCATCGAAAATCTACCTTCTAATTGGCTGACATTTTCCTCTATTTTCTCTTACCTATTCTTCATTATTTATTTTTAAAGATCTATTTATTTATTTGAAAGTCAGAGAGTTTCAGAGAGAGAGAGAAAGAGAGAGAGAGGTCTTCCATCTGCTGGTTCACTCCCTATTTGGCTGCAACAGTTAGAGCTGCAATGATCTGAAGCCAGGAGCTCCTTCCGGGTCTCCCACATGAGTGCAGGGCCCCAAGCACCTGGCCCATCCTCCACTGCTTTCCCAGGCCACAGCAGAGAGCTGGATCGGAAGTGGAGCAGTCGGGACTCGAACTGGTGCCCAGATGGGATGCCGGCACTGCAGGCAGTGGCTTTACCTGCTGTGCCCAGCGCCGGCCCCCGTCACGATTTTAAAGTTCTTGCACACTTGTGTGCACATCTGTGTCACCTCTGGTTCTGCATCTTCTGCTCTCTGGGATCTCCATCATTTGTCATATTTTCTTGACTCTTCGTGTTTCATAGTTGGGATAGAATGCTGGACATTGTGCATACAAAGGAGGTTCTGAGTGATGTCACTCTCTCCAGGGACGGTCCCTCCTCACCTCCCACAA